CGCGCAGCGCCAATCCCGAGTGTGGCGTGTGCACTTGCGATAGTGCACGGCAGCGTGGTAGGATACTGTGCGCGATAGCGCAATGCACGAGTGTAGCGAATGCATAGGGTATGGATGGGTCCTGCGCGACCTCAATACAGTACTACGCGTGGTGTTAGATCAACGTGTTCGATCGTGAGATTAGGATTGTATCTGGATGTTACGTTTGCTTTGCAGGTATCAATTGCAATTCGCGCGCCAAGCACAGAGCAGAAGACCCGGTCATTGTGGGGCCGTCAGTTTCGGGCCGAGCGCAAGTGCGAGCAGTGGAATCGCCACGCTGCATACGCCCTGCAGACATCGACCCCGATCGAGGAGGCCAAGGAGCTCAAGCGAAAGATCACCACGAGGCAGAGGTGGCGGCAGCGAACCAAGGCGTCGACCGTGACCGCCACTGCACCTCCAGGGGAAGCGCGCGCGTGCAGTGGCCGCGCCTGTCACAGTAGAATTGCTGGGCCTGCAAATCCGAGAAGCGATTCTTTAAACCACCTCATGAACGTTATACATCCTGGAATGTTGATCAAGCTGCTGTGGCATCTATGCATGAAGCGGCTAAGAAAGAGCTCTTCCTGGCGGCGGCTCTAACAATAACAATTCACATCTAAGCAAGATTGGGACGATGCACCACCCTCACCGCACAATGGAAAATGAATTTGACGTTGTTTCCACTGGAGCCCTACGAAGAATCCACCAGGTGCACCGTAGCACAGAGGAGGTTGCACCGCAGTGTCGTTTCCGGCTGAAGGCCGGTAGCGGCCTGCTGGGCACCGCAACGAAGCGGAGGTCGCGTCCGTCGCACGCGTCGTCACATATTCGCCATGTGAATGCGTGTTTGCAGTAAGGAGGTGCGTTGGACGTGCATAGTACACGAGCCCGTAAGGGTGGAAGACATCCACACTGTCCAAGCTACGACACAGACATACCGCTAGGTTGCACGCGGCCCCGACACCAAACTGAAATCAAAAAGCGCGCCAGAACCTGCGCAAACCTTCTCCACGAATCAAACCACTATGCTTGCTTCACAGAAAGACCGCTAGATGGCCCACCGGCCCTATGCCCCACCTCGACCACAAAGACCAACCACACCCTGCCCCAAGAAAACGCGAGGTTTGGGGCAGGGTACGTTGAGCTTCAATGCACATGATCCCGTCCACCGACGAGTCCAAACTACGTCACACGTAGTACGCGATCCCACCGCTAGATTGCACGCTACCCCAATGCAAAACCTCAACCAAAGAGCTCGACCAAAACCTGCCCCAAGAAAACACGAGGTTAACCCTAGTGCTCTTTTTGCTTGCGCAGCTTATTTGGTCCAAGCGCGACTACGACCTCGGGAAGCAGTACATGCTCGACACCTTGGCGTGGTGTCTGGT